TTCCTTCCTTCCTTCCTTCCCTTTCTTTCCTTCCTTCCTTCCCTTTCTTTCCTTCCTTCCTTCCATCCCTTTCTTTCCTTCCTTCCTTCCCTTTCCTTCCTTCCTTCCTTCCTTCCTTCCTTCCTTCCTTCCATCCCTTTCTTTCCTTCCTTTCCTTTTCTTTCTCTCCAGGAATTAAACCCGGGGCCCTTCACCTCTGAGCCACACTCCTAAGTGCTTTCATTTTTTATTTGGAGACAGGGTCTCTCTCACTTAGGCCTTGCCAACTTGCTGAGGCTGGCCTCCAACTCGGGACCTCCTGCCTCAGCCTCCCAGGTCGTCGGGACCATAGGTGTGCGCCACGGTGCCAGTTTATATTCCTTATGTTCTTCCACAACGCCGTGTCATCCACATGTGCACGTGTTTAATTCACATGTTGTCCTTGGGGCCTGTACCTCATTCTGGTTTTCCCACAATCAAAACTGTTTTAAGAGATCCATTTCTGTAACTGTTGGTTTGCTGGTTCGGTGCTGTGCTTGGTGTGTGCCATCAACAGAGCCTGCGTGACCGCCAACTCCTCACCCCAGGAAGAACGCGCAGGGACTGTCTGTCGCCTGTCTCCCGGATGAAGAATCCCGGGGGCTTTATCCCCCAGGAGCAGAGCTGTTCCCCCAGGGCAGAGGCACATTTGGCTTCCGCACACTCCTGAAGAGCATAATGTGTAGCTTTTCATCTTTCTCCCTTCCTCCCTTCCTTCCTTCCTTCCTTCCTTCCTTCCTCCCTCCCTTCCTTCCTTCCTTCCTCCCTCCCTTCCTCCCTTCCTTAAAGGCCGGCCCAGACCACACTCTTTCTAGCAGTGCCCCAGCGTTCCCACGGCCACGTGGCTGCCAACACTGGACATTACCCAGCTTTCTTATTTTTTAAAGTCTTATTGATTCAAATCTCATTGCTTCAATTGGCGTTTCTCTGAGAATTAGGTTGAACATCTGTTCAAATGCTTTCAAGCAAAGTTTCATCATAGGATCCAGTTCAAAGGGTAATGTGGAGAGTCAAAGGAACCAATACATATGCTCAATAAATGCAAGAATCAGAAAACCAAGGTCCCACAGTTGGACCTGTCTGATTCTCCATTAGACATTTGACGCCTAGAAGGTGCTCTGCAAGTGCGCATTCCCCTGGCTTCTCCCAGTTTCCTCTGGTTGTCCCTGCTCCCCGCCCTTCATGCGGTGGAGTGGCCGCAGTGCCCTTGCACAGCCTCACCTGTGTTCTCATCACCTTCCCAACTGAGCTCCTTCTGAGCCTCCTTCTGGCCAAAGAGACTCTTCAGGATGGCGTTGGCAATGGGCAGCATCATGGCGGTGGAGGCGGTGTTGCTGAGCCACATGGACAGGAAGGAGGTGGTCACCATCATCCCCAGAATGAGCCTGGGGACAGAGGGAGATGGAGTCAGAGCCCGAACCCAGGCTCCACGAGGTCCTCTGGGCCCAGGCTCCCCTCCCTGAGGAACCCAAGCCCTTAGCTTCACAGTGGAAAGTTGAGATGCAGAGAAGCAAGTCAGTGGCCAAAGCGACCCACAATCTGGGCTTGCTGGGATCTCAAGAGCCCTGGCCACTGTGAGTGAACGGCCCACAGGCTCCTGGGGAAAGGGAAACCAGAGCCATTTCCACCAAACCCTCCGTGTCACCCATTTCAGGGTAAAGGTGCCAGGACACCAAGGCTCCTGCCATCTTGCCTGCGACCTTCCCAGGCTCCCTCTGGCCCCCACTCCCACCAGCACCCGCTGCTCACCCGCTGAGCCTCTCCCCAGCACCCAGCGCGCCTGACTCCTCGGCTCCTGGTCTTTGCTTGGTCTGCCCCCACAACAGAATCTAAGTCTCGGGTGTTGTGGGTTTGGTTTTTCATATATTAGTTTCTTAATCCACCTGGAGCTCATTTAGACGGTTATGAAGGAAGGAGTCAGCAGAGTTCTGTTCATAGATCAGACCAATGATCTAAGCTCCCGCCGTTTACTGACCCTCCCTCCTTCCCTGTCAGTTCCAGTGTCCTCTGGGTCGGTTCTTCTGTGTCTAGATGGTTCTAAGCCAGTGCCTCGCTGTGCTCATGGCTGCAGATTCACCTCCACAGCCCCCGCGCCCCTGGATAGCAAACCCCGCTGGCTGCTGGGCTCAGCTCTCGATGGAGTCTGTCCCGCAGGATGCACAGCCTCCCGAGGGGACACCTCACACAGTCGGGCAGCTGTCTCAGCAGAGTGGATGCTGGAACCCAGGGGTCATCCACAGCTCTCCTCCTCCCTCACCCCCACGGGTCATGTCACTCAGAGAGCTCTCAGGTCTCTCCTTCTGTCCTTCTCCACTGCCACCCTCTAGTGCAAGCCGTCACCATCCCTTGTCACACCCAGAACAGCCTCCCAGCCAGGCTGCACCTGGCTTCTCACCTGCAGCCCACCACATGTGGCCAAGAGGAGGCTTAAAGATGTAAATTTGCCAGGTCACTCCCTGGCTCAGGACCCTTTACAGCAGGGGGCTGTGGACACCACCAGGCTGGATCAGGGAGACACCTGGCATCTTCACGTTGCTAACGTCTAGTGAGAAGTGAGTCTTTTCCTCAGTGCCTGAGACTTTATCACCAAAAAAGGTCACAGGTGTTTTCTAGCACATTGTAACAGCTGCAGGACCCTGGCTTAGCGATGATTCTCAAAACGGTTTCATCACTAGATCTTGCCGTGTGCTGGGTTCATAAAGGGGCTGTTACGGCAAAATGTGTTTTAAAAATACTGTTTGAGTAACTGCATTTTGCTCCAGTTAGGGTTGTGGTTGTTGTTTTAAATCCTGAAAACTGGATTGCTTCATGCAATTTAAAACATCATTCTGAGAAAAAATCTTAAGATTCACCAAATTGCCAAAGGGGTTCATGGAAAAAAAACAATAGACGTGCACACACACACTCCTTTGCTAAATCCACCCAACCCTTGGAGAATGGCTTTGCAGGGTTGGGTCCTGCCCCCGCCTCTCCTGGGCCATCTTCCCACCCACTGTGTGTCCCCAACGGCTCCACCCCATCACCCGGGCTGCTGAGCAGCGAGCGAGCCTGAGAGCGCAGGGCCAGGCCCTCTGCGCGGGGCTCAGGGACAGCCCGCAACAACCTTCTAGTGCTCGCAGGGACTCTGTGAATCAAGGTCCTTCGCCATTTCCAGGCAGCGAGGGGCAAAGTCACGTCCCCGGCTGGCCCTGTGGCCTGGCCTTACCTGGCCGGCTGGACTCCCACGAGCATCAGGACCTTGAGGGCGATCCTCCGGTGTAGGTTCCACTCCTCGATGGCAGTGGCCATGATGAGACCGCTGAGGAAGAGGAAGTTGGTGTCGAGGAAGTACTGGGGGCAGACCTTGCTGGAGGGCAGGATGCCCAGGAAGGGGAAGAGGACGATGGGCAGCAGCGCTGTCACTGACAGGGGCAGGGCCTCGGTGCACCAGTAGACGGCCATGAGCAGGATGACGAACAGGCAGCGGCCCTCCTGCGGGGGACATGCACAGCTGGGGGCGCGCCCGGGGCCTGGTGCAGGGCCTACCGGGCTCCTTCGCCGGGAAGTGGTGCCCTTGGCTTTGACCTTGAGCTAGGGCATCACCTTTCTGAGCCTCATTTTTCTCGGTACAAAATAGAGAAGCTATTTCTTCCTACTTCACAAGACTGAAAGAAAACCAACCAAAATACTCACTGTCTTGGAGGTAGACCCCTAGGCGAGGATGAGAATGGAAATACTTGATTTAATAGGGGACCTCAGAAAGTTCTGGAAGGGTGTGGGCAGGTGACCCAGAGAAGGGGCCAATACAAGGTGAGTTTACGAGAAGTTTCCACCGTGGGCAGTTGGAGCCACAGTCCTGGTGGGGAGCCTGGGACGCAGCACAGGGCACACCCGGGAGCTGTTCTCCCTGGAGCCGCTGGCCATCGCTGGTTGAGGACGGCTCCTGGGAGCACTTCCGGCCTCCCCCTGTGCAGGCTGAGCTCTGCCCACAGCCAGAGAAACACTCCTGCAGCCACAGGAAGAGGGATCAGCCTGTGCGGGCCCAGGGACCGCCCTGGAGTGGAGGGCACACAGTAAGGATGGCCGCAGCTGGGCAGGTGCAGCGGCCAGCACGGCACACGCTCGACGCCCAAAGACGGTGACCGTCACACTCATCCTGTCCTGTGCACCGCCTGACCTACCAACCGGTGTCCCGGTTTGGAAACGAGGCATCCTGAGCCAGGATTGCGACCTCGAGTGCTCACAGGAGCCTGACGTGCCACCGTGGAGCTCTGGGCTCCCCCGCACAATCTCGCACTTTGCAAGAAGACATCTTGCTTTTCTTTGGGGTCTGTCACGAGACGCCAGACTGCCAGGGGACAGTGCACTCCTGCCCCTGACACTGGCAGTCAGTCTGGGGCCCAGACACCTGCAGCTCATCAGCTTCTGCAGCTCCAGGAGACCCACGTGCAGGCAAACCATTCGCCCCGAGAGACAAGGCCCCAGGCGGCCCAGCACCGTGAGCATGGGGCAGAAGAAAGCCATCGGAGGGACTGGTGGGGACCGAGGAGGGCGCTGCCTTGGCTGAGTTCCCCCAGCCCCCCAATTCATATGTTGAAACCTAACCCCACTGTGGCGGGCCCCTCATGAATGCAATTGTAAGAGGCCTGGGGGCCCTCTGCCTTGTCCGGGCCCAGCAACAGGTGCTGAAGCACAGAGAAAGGCCCCTGAGACACTGAGTGTGTCGGCGCCTCTGTCTTGGAGCTGGCTGGGCTGCTTTAACAGGCTCCAGAACTGTGAGCAATACATTCCTGTGGTTCACCCCGACCCAGTTGACGGCGCCTTTTGTTACAGCAGCTCAATTGGAATAAGACGCTCCTCCATCTCCCTGGACCCTCGCTGTTCACTACAGGTGACTCCGTCAACGGAAGGGTGTGTTTCCTGAGGCTCAGAAGTAAAAGGGGGTGCCACTGCATACCCACTCCATTCCTAGTCAGGAACATGGTGTGTTCCACGTGGAGAGGACCTGGGAGGGTGAGCTGCTGGGAGCAGAGCAGGGGCCTGAGGGGGCGTCCATATCAGTCACGCTGGTGTACCCCCTAAGGCCGCCAAAATGGGTTCCAAGCCGGGGAAGTTCTCAACAGCCCTTCTCCCTACCGACCCCTGAAATTCCCGGAGCATCCAAAGCACTGCCAGACCACATGCACACATCTACTTGTCCCCGTGGACCCAAAGCTCCTGACATTCATTTGCCCATGGATCAAAACATCCCTTAAAACTTTGTGTGGCTGGAAATGCTGCTGAGTCGCAAGCTGCGACGATTCCGGTGTTCAGTGTCGCTGGCCTCCTCTGTGTCCCCGCCCAGAATGCAAGTGCCACGAGGAGGGGGTCCCTGTTTGTGTCTCATTCTCTTCTGTGTCCCCAGCACCCGGCTTAGCGCCCAACACGTAGGGGCTGAGGCAGTGCAGAATGAGGGAACTGAGGGAGGGGACCCCCGGTACTCTTTGCTGGACCCTGTCCTGGAGCTTCGGGGGCAGAGGGAGGAAGAGAACCTCTGCCCTCAGTGGGCAGCGGGCAGGTGGCACATGCCTGTCACCTCAGGCCTCGGGAGGCTGAGGCAGGAGGATTGTGAGTTCAAAATCAGCCTCAGCAACTCAGTGAGACCCTGATTCTAAACAAACAAACAAACAAACAAAAAAGAGGCTGGGGGTGTGGCTCAGTGGATAAGCACCCCTGGGCTCAATCCCCAGAACCAAAATAAGTTTTAAAAAATTAAATGCTTTCGGGGCAAGTGGCTAAAGACTCTTTAAGAGCAGCACCAAGTCACGTGACCCAGGAGCCGTGGCTCCAAGTCCATTAGGGACAACTAGCGGGAGTCATTAACTTAGCTGAGAGGCCAGAGGGGTTAGCAGGGGAGACTTCTCTCGGGAGAAACTGCCTCAACTAAACATTAGCAAACGAAAGCTCCGGCAGCGTCCGAAGGTCAGACCCTGCACTGTCCCGCCAGCGTCTGGTCATTTGCTTGTGTATTGTACTCGCAACCTGAGGGCAAAGTTGTGCAGCAGTAGAGGAACGTGGCAAACTCGTTCCTCTAACTTGAAAGGAATCGG